CTATCACCTACCCTTTAGTCGGGGTGACGCTCTAAAATTGAATGACCTTGAAAAAAGATATTTTGGAAATTATTATTTTTTACTGAACAGTAAAGCGAATCTACCACAAACCATACAGCAAATACTCATAAATAATTGGCCGATTTTTTGGTATATGTTTCATTTAAAAACAGTTAGCCGTTTAAGATATACAGGGTGTTGAAATTTAAACAACCCCCTTTCATATCATCTGAAGGGCTAATGCTAGGCTGTTCAAATTTTCAGAGATTATTGATGTGGGAATGATATTGAGAAATTCGTATAATGCACCCCTATTTTCTACCTGGAACCACCCCAAAAAAACAATAAAATTTGAAAAAAAATATTTTTTTGTGCACACTTCCGATATATATGCATAGACACCAAAAGCATTTTTCTAGTACAAAAAAAATATTGAGAGTGTGAAAAAAAAAAATTTTTTTTTTGGCTTTTTGTTTTACATAGGTCAGTAGCCCACTTAATAAGCTTTTCAAAAATATATCTACTTACTGCAACATCCCCCCGGAAACTACCCCTGCCCCTTATGGAAGTTGTCGCGACTACTCTTTTGGGATTATTTCGTTACATATGCATGAAGGAAATTTATACGAAATTGAAGACCAGCATTTGCTCTACAACTAGGTTCCTAATGCATTTTTTTATATTCTGCAACCGTTACGCCACAGTGGCGTCCCAAAGCTCAAAAATTTTATGGCGAATTCCAGTTTTATTCCATTATCTCGTCACTGAACCTTAGGACGCCACTGTAGCGTAACGATTGCAAATATAAGAAACATGCATCGAGACTTTATTTGTAGAGCATGTGGTGGTCTTTAATTTCGTATAAATTTCCTTCTTATTCAATGCATAGGTAACGATATGAAATAACCACAAAAGAGTGGTTGCGACAACTTCCATAAGGGGCAGGGGTAGTTTCCAGAGGAATGTTGCAATAAGTAGATATATTTTTGGAAAGCTTATTTAGTCCGCTACTGACCTCTGTGAAACAAAAAGCCAAAAAAAATTATTTTTTTTCACCCCCTTAATATATTTTTTTCCGTCTAGTGGGGTTGTAATAGAAAAATGCTTTTGGTGTCTATGCATGTATGTCGGGGGTGTGCACAAAATAATATTGGAACCATTCACATGGAGGGCATTGTGTGCGAGAAAACGAAAAAACAGGCATTTTTTTTTTAGTTTTATTTTTTTTGGGGTAGTTCCAGATGAAAAATGGGGAAGCATTATATGAATTTTTAAATATTATTCCTACATCACTAATCCCTGAAAATTTGAACACTCTAGCATTAGCCCTTCAGATGATATGAGAGGGGGTTGTTTAAATTTCAACACCCTGTATATCTAAAAGGGGTGAATGATTTTAAATAAAACTTATACCAAAAAATAGGCCAATTATTTATGAGCAGTTGCTGCCTTGTTTCTGGTAAATTCGCCTTACTGTTCAGTCAAAAAAAAAAAAATTCCCAAAACATCTTTTCTCAAAGTCATTTAACTTTAGAGCCCCACCCTGGCTAAAGGGTAAGAGATGGACAAATGCTGTCGCTGGATAAATTGTAGAGCATTTAGTCCTCTTTAATTTACTATGAAGGTATTTTGTTGTAACATGTAGCAGAAGCGCTACGTTTCGGAAAAACCACAAAAAACTACCTTAAGGGGGATGAAAGGGGATGTTCCAGGGAGAAATTTTGTTCGAAAAAGTTAGACCCATTATAAGAAGCACTTGTCCTACCAGAAAAAAAATAAAACAGAACTTGTGTCGAGTTTGCGAGGTTCAACCTCTCTTTCCTGGCCTATTAGATGAAAAGCTCATAAATAAAAATATAGTTAGTTGTAAATGGGTATTTTCTCTGAAAAATAATAAGCACGGAAATCCTATTAAATATAAAGCTCGTCTCGTAGCAAGAGGTTTTAGTCAACAATATCTTGTTGATTTGTTGATTATAATGAAACTTTTGCACCAGTAGCTAGAATTTCAAGTTTTAGATTTTTAATAGCTTTTGGAAATCAAAATTGTTTATTAATCCATCACATGGATGTGAAAACTGCGTTTCTAAATGGCAAACTAAGGGAAGAAATTTATGTGAAGGTTCCTGAAAGGATCAAAAGTGAGAGCAATCAGGTTTGCAAGTTAAATAAAGCTTTGTACGGTTTAAAACAGGCAGCTAGATGCTGGTTTGAAAAGTTTGAACAAGCACTAACAGAAAAAGGTTTTAAAAATTCCCCTGTTGACCGATTTATTTATATTTTAGATAGAGGTAATATATTGAAAAATATACTCCTGGGGGCCAATTCTTGAAAGTGGTGAAAATATTCACCCGGTGAAAAATTTCACCACCTAATTTTCACCTGCCTCACTCGTTTTGTATTCTTGAGTCGTGGGTGAATTTGCTTGAGGTGAATATAAAATAACACTTTGGCAACGTCGAAATATAGCCTTTTTGGAAGGAAAATTGCTAAGGAAAATTGAAAACGCCTACAATTCTTAACCTTACTTTGGTGTGGGTCCGTCAACGTGTCAACTGACCGGCGACCGCAGCAATAATTTGTTTTCGAAAAATTTAAGCATAAACTATTGCTATTTTGCCGTGTAAATTCAACAGTTGAAAGAGATGTCTAAAAAATATTGTAGACATGCAACCACGAAGCAAAAAGAACATTTAATTCAAGTTGTGAATGATGACGAATTGAGAAAAAGACGATTTTCAGATTCTTGTACAAAAAGCTTTACAAAGCTGATATTCTTATTGGAGCTTCTAGAAAAGGATCTTAAATTTCAATAAGAAGGCGAACAAGAGGTTTGGTTAACCTGAATAATTTCTTGAATAAAAAATCTGTATTTCAAAAGGATTTTCTCGTCTATGTCTCATTCTATTTCCCTCGCCAACCGCTGCATCATCTATGATGTCTCCAATTTCAATTCGGTTCATTAACAATAGCTCGTTTTCCATACTTTATAATATAACAATTAACAATAGGTTCACAAGCCAGTTATTTTATAAGAAATAGGAATTAAAATACAAAATCAGAGTACTCTGACAAAAAAGTCAATATAATTATTGACAATAAACAATTAGGGAATCCAAACCACGTGACTTTTCCCAACCAGCCGGCATTTTTAAATTTTTATGAGGTTAGAATACGGGTTGTTACATGTCAACGATGTCAGAAAAGTGTCAGATTGATAAAGCCTAGTACTCATAACGGCGAAATTCACCCTTTTTTGACATTGCTTGGATAATTTGACGTTTGATTCATGCATAAAACGTCAAATTGTCGAAGCAATCTCAAAAAAGAGCGAATTTCGCTGTTATGAGTACTAGGCTTAATCCTGCCAAAAGAAAAACATATGTTTTTTGTTTATTCTTTGCCAACCAGACGCCATTTGGACAGGTCGTTGGATTGCCTAATTACAAAACAAATCGCAAAGTGCCGAATTAAGGTTAGAAATGCACGTTTTCACCGAAATTTGTAACATTCACCACCCTTTTCGGTGGTGAATCTACTCACCCAATAAAAGGTGAAAATTTTCACCTTTTTTTTTTCAAGAATATGATTACGTAAATTTTTGGTGAAAGCTTAGCAATTCCACCCGGTGAATATTTTCACCACTTTCAAGAATTAGGCCCCTGGACAAAATTATCGCACCACTGCTTATGGTGATACTTATCTGCAGTGGTGCGATAATTTTGTCCAGGAGTATATATACGTGACTTTATATGTTGATGATCTTGTCATAGTTACAGCAAATATTGATACAATGACTAGTTTTAAAAATTATCTGATGAATAAATTTTTAATGGTTGATTTAAAAGAAATTAAATTATTTCTGGTGATAAAAATTACTCGTGAAAGTAATAAAATTTGTTTAGATCAAAGTTCCTATGTAAAAACTATCCTAAATAAATTCAATATGTCTGATTCAAACACTGTCAATACTCCACTTGAGAGTAAGTTAGACCTTATAGCAGTAAATTCTGATAAAACATGTAATGCTCCTTGCCGAAATGCTATCGGATGTCTAATGTATTTAATGATATGTACGAGACGATTTAAGTGTTGCTGTCAACATTTTAAGTAAATTTATATATGTCAAAAAAGACGTCGACATTTTTTGACACTGCTAGATAGCCCACGTCAAATAATCGTTATGCACCGAGTTTGGTGGTCATAGCTTGTAAAGTAAAGTGTGGGGAAAGGCAGGATGGAACGCCTCACATAATAAGAAGAGGCCTGGTCTGGTATAGGTACAGACGGCGCCAAAACAGCAGATGGAGCTGACGCTGGCGTATATGGAGAAAGGTCAAGATCACAGCAAAGCAACCCTCTGGGGCTTGATGCCACAGTTTACCAGCCAGAAATTCATGCAATCCAAGCATGCACACAGGAGACTCTAAGGCTGGGTTATAACAACCAGGACATAAGCATCCTCTCAGACAGTCAGGCTGTTCTAAAATCTCTGAACTCACATCGATTTACTTCAAAGATTACGATGGAATGCCTACACGACGTGGAAGCTCTGTCGTCAAGGAATAACAGGATAAAGCTGTGGGTTCCTGGTTATTCGGGAATAGAAGGCGACGAAAAGGCTGACGAAGAGCGGGCGCAGCTGCACCCTACACAAGATCAGAACCTGCATTTGGGATACGAAGCAGGTCATAAAGACGACAGTTGAGAGGTGGTATCACAAGAAGCTTTAAGGCTGCAGTCCAAATCGTGACACGCCTGACACCACCTTAAACCAACCAACTATTAAACGAAAATTCCTCACATGGCATAAAATAATAATGACCGACGATTTTAGTTAAGTAACTGATAGACTAGATCATTTAGACCGACAACGTTCATGGGAAGTATTTGTGTGGTTGATAAAGGACGGCTCATCTTTATCCCGACTCCCATTTTTTAATATCCTACATATTATAGGAACCTTATTGTATGCAAATATCTAGTAATCAAATACTTACTTGTAAGAGTTAAAACACGACCTTATTTTAAGCCCAGCCTTGAGGAAACTAGCCAGAGTTTCATCTTCCATAAAAGTGAGCATCGATTTGAGCAGCAAACACTCGGCATGACAGAGTTCAGCGTGCGTTTCCATTTCCGTGTACTGTTCGAAGTGATTCTTTTTGACTATTTTGCCAAGCGAATCGCCGAGAGTGTTTTTCTTTCTGAACTTGTTGCAAACATTCAGAGCGTGTTTTAGGGCTTTCGATGCTTCTTTTATAGCAACAGGTTCTATGGTTAATATAGCTTCTAGAAAAAGAAATATTGCGTGGCCTAGAGCATGGTACATGGATACATTTGCACTAGAAAAAAAATAATATTAATGGCTGATTGATATGAAGAGCCAGTTTAACTTACTAAGGAGCCATTAGCTGTTTGGCTTCTGGGAATTGATTGTTGAAAAAGAAGAATATAGCTTGTTTCGCTTCGTCGAGAGCTTTTTCTAGAGTCATGTTCTCGCTAAAATATAAAATAAAATGGTCAATTAGCGTGGCTAAATCCACTGCAGTTGTTCTTCCAAATTGAACTTCTTCAGTCGGTCAACAATTCTATGTATAATTTTTTTTTGTAAAATGCTTCAATAAATTATCATTGATGCAATGTTTTGTCTGGTTCTGGGATCACAATGACTTATTCCCACGACTTGAGAAAAAATTGTTGAAAATTCTGGTCGGAGCGGTGATGAAATCTTACTGTTGGCAACCCTTCGCTTCAAATATTGAATTAATGTCAAAGTTTCACGAGTAGGTATACAATTTTTGCACTATAATAAGCCTCTCTGAAAGCTGATTCAAGCTGTAAAAGGGTCTTGGAAATTCAATCACCCCTAGATACTTGGTTATGCGCCAATAGACATAACATCATCAAGGCTCGGTTCATTCATCTTTAGATAAACTTGCTGGTAACTATTTGCAAGACAAATTAACCGCTCTATAATTCTATTCGTCGCCGGATAACTGGCCGACTAATCCAATGGGATTATATATTGCGTTTTTATCTGTCAAATTGCATGAATGAAAGTTTATCAGAAGGTGAATGAACCGGCCCTTAGTGAACGATTATTATTTACATCAATACTGTAGATTCAACTTACAGATCAGGAGCTTCATAACCGCACGCATCTTCAAACTAAAACAAAAAAATGGAAATTAATACCTTATTGATAAACCTCTGTAAACATGTTCGCTGTCAAATTTCAATCGAGTTTGGTAATAATCTGTCACTTCCAGATAGTAATAATTTTAATAAAGTCATCCTGATTCCTGGCAGAATGGCATCAATGGCAGGCATTTTTTTATTAACCGCATAACTTGACTATTAAAATTTTGACCTGTCTGTTTTGGCCGACATTGATGGTAAGCCACTGATAAAGTTAAGACGTTTAGAACATACGTTCATATGAAGTTTTTTTTCTCAAAAAAGACCCAAAAATTAGCTCCCTTAATATTGACATTCAATTAGAGGAAAACACGCTTCAGGTACTTTGCACGTAGGTTTTGGGAAAATTGAGATTAGCTATTTTCACCTTAGAATTTAAAAATGTTAACCCATCTTCACCTCCCAGGCAAAAAGGTTTTATAAGGTTTTCCAACTACAAATCGTGTGCAATTTAACCATTCTATCTTGCGATTGTCTAATGCAGGAAAACCGAGCAGAACTCTAATTACTTTTAATGCCAAATAAATTTTTAAAAGCTCATTAATGTGTAATCTCGTATGTTGTTCAAAGGTCAAGGAAGGATATATTGTTAGTTTTGCTTCCTGAATACAATTTTTGTTTTAAACCCACTTTTTAAAATTTATCAGAAGTGTTTCCCAAAAAAAATCTATAGTTTTTGGTAAATGGTTTGTGAGTTGAAATACTGGGATAAATTGTATCTAAAGAACACTGATTTCAATGTACTCTTCAAGAAAAAAAAAACATATCAAAATAGGAGTGTTGTACTGGAAAGCAAGCTCCATGGAAATCTCTGATTAGATGAATCAAAAATACCAAAAAATGCCCTGGTTAATGTAGCAATGGAAGAGAAAAGCAAACTGAGGAACCTTTCAAACTAATAGACGAAACGTATATTGGAAGTTATATCAACAGACGTTGTGGTACCCACGAATCCTCCCAGACTTTGCTCCCACTTATGATGGCAAAATATGCTTATGTCAATATTTATAGATCAATATTCAATGATACATAATAAAAGTGGAGTAATAGAAACATTAAAAAAAACTTCTAGTACAAGTACCCACTCTGGTGATTAGTTTAGTGGCAAAATTGCCACTTGGAAATTCACCGAGCCCAATATCTAAAATTCTGCACATCTCATTTTTTGCACAACATCCAGTTTTATTTACTTATATTATTGAAGAATAATCTTATAAACAAGATCATAAATCCAAAATTTTGTAACGATTCTGCTAGAAAAATGTAAAGTAGGCAATAAAAGCCTCTGATTTTTGAACTCGTACATTAATTAAATTAATCTTAATTTTTTTCCAATCAAAACATTGATAAGGCATATTTAATTATTGTATAATCGCAGTTATTATATTTTTGTCTTTGCATTACAGACATTAGTAATTACTTGTAAAAAGCTCCTAATTAACTTTTACGCCTAATGTACAAATAATTACCAATAATAGTAAAAAAGTCATTTCGCCAAACTTTCTCCTGTAGCGTTGTTAATTTATAAACATAAATGTTAAAATCTTACCTCTTCAGAATCAGCATCATCATTTTCGTCGTCGTTATCGTTATCATTTTCGCACTCGAACTTTTTCTCTACAGGATGATCCATGATTTGTGCTACTCTCACTGGAAGCGTTACTATAAAAAAAAATACAAAATCACCACAAAATAATCCACAATTTACAGCATTGATAATATCTTGTTAGCTTTTAAAAGACTTACAAGTTGACGTCATTGTAATCGAGTGATGTTTTGTTTGGTTTATCGGACAATTTTAATTTAGCGACTATGGTAATGCAATTAGACAAGACCATGTATCGACCGTACACTAAACTACGCCACGATGACGGGTCTTCGTGGCGTGCGAATTCGATCTACTGGGTTTTGGTAAATGCATGGAAAGTGGTAGGTATCAACCTCGATCGGAAGGACTTTCTCTCGTTATTATTAAATCTTCTATTAACCATTCGCGGATCTATGTAATAATCTGATTGATTTCTGGCCTGGTTGAAATTAAAATCAAATTTTTAATCGGGCTCGAAAGCGCAATAAAAAATTAGACCACGTTCGAGCGATGAAAAAAAATTGGAATTCTATAATTTTAGCCTCTTAACACAAATATCAAAGGAATTGATATTGATGATGACAAAATTATTGGTGATTTTAGAAAGTATGAAAGAAGGCAGATATTTGAATAAGTCTGGACGGTTGGGTGGAATATCAAAACTGGAAGATGGAAGAAGTCAAAAGCAAAAGGGCCGATGGGGCCAAATTCGACTAGTTTAAATGACAACCCCAATATATCTTCATTATCTGTATTCATAATCTTATTTGTATTTGTATTTGTCTTGTGTAATATTTATTCTTTTAACAACATTATTCCGAGTTGTATCAAAATCTTTTTTCATCCATTTTATCTTTGTTTCCTTCCTCATCGTTGAATTATATTTTTCCATTTTATTTTTATATTCTTCTTTATTCAGATTTGTGGAAGTTGCGTTTTACTTATTTTAGTTTTCTTCACAGGGCGATCTTTCGTGAAAAATGTTTAATTTTCGGATTATAGGGCTCCCCAAACTTCGGACCTTAAACTTTGGAGGTCTACAAATGCTGGAAATTTGAGCTTATACTGAATTTATTATAAATGTAATTCTTTTGGATGGGACAAACTTTGTGCAACTTCTTAGGATATAAGAAAATATTGGAAAGAATATCACTTGTGCATAAAAGAACACGAGCCCGTGGTGCGAGGGTTTTTTTTTTCTAAAGATATGTAGGTACGAATGCTTTTATTTTAAAAATTCATGAAATAAATGACAACCAATTTTTTAAAATAAAAGCATTCGTGCATTACTTTTTCTCTTCATTAGCGATTGTAGAAGTTGCTTTATTAGAATCATTTTCTTGTATTGTATTGCAATAATATTCAATTTTTGATTATTTTCGGCTCTTGATTCGAATCAAGTGTAGAATCAGTGAAAATCTGAATGTAAAGACTTAAAGCTAATTCCATTCGCTTCAATTTAAGCCTAATTACGTTGAAATTCGATTAAAATTAACAAAGTTGTGGGGTAGAATGTCGTTTAAAATGATATCGAGAGATTTCTTTCTCTTCGCTCGCTTTGATTTTTCAACTTTGAGGCTCCTTATCTGCAAAACTTTGGAAATCTGAATACTAAGATTTAAAGAAAATTTGATTCGCTTCAATTTAAGCCTAATTACGTAGAAATTGGATTAAAATTAACAAAGTTGTGAGCTAAAATGTGCGCCAATGTCGTTTAAAATGACATCGAGGGATGTGGCTGAAGTTAGCTTCAGATTCAGATTCGTGTATATTAGTCGACCAGATAATTATTGAAAAGCAAAATTAAAAAACCGCGAAATTCAACAAAATAAAATTATTATAACATGTAAGGAATTTCTGGGATTCGGAAAAGGTAGAAATAACCCTTAGGCACATTCGAGGATATTTTCTCCAGTCAAGTTAGATCTGGGAGAGTCACTACGGGGGGAAATCGATAATTTGTTTAAAAATTCGTGGAAAATTAATGATGGTTTGTAGGGATTTTTTAAAATTTGAAGAAGATAGATTTGACCCTCAAGCATATTCAAAAATAATTTCCCAGTGAAGTGTGGTCTGGGAGAGTCACTATGGGGGAGAGTCGATAATTTGTTCAAGAATTCGTGAAAAATGAATGATGCTTTGTAGGGATTTTTTGAAAATTGGAGAGGATAGAGGTGACCTTTAAGCACATTCGAGAATATTTTTGCAGTCAAGTCAGTTCTGAGAGAGTCACTACGGGGGCAACTCGATAATTTGTTTCAAAATTCGTGGAAAACTAATCATGCTTTGTAGGGATTTTTTGAAGTTTGAGAATGATATAGAGTTGACACCTAGGCACATTCGAGAATAGTTTTTGAAATCAAGTTAGGTCTGGGAGAGTAACTACGGGGGGAAATCGATTATTTGTTTGAGAATTCGTGAAAAATTATTGATTTTTTAAAGTTTGAGGATGATATAGTTGATCCCTATCATCCTCAAACTTCAAACAATCCCCACAAAGCATCATTAAATTTTCACGAATTTTCATAAAAGTTATCGACTTGCCCCAGTAGTAACTCTCTCAGACCTAACTTGACTGCAAAAACTATTCCTGAATGTGCTTAATGGTCAACTCTATCCTCTTCAAATTTCAAAAAATCCCTTAAAAGCATTATTCATTTTTCACGAACTTTCCAACAAATTATCGTCTTCCCATCGTAATGACTCTCCCAGACCTAACTTGACTGCAAAAACTATTCTCGAATGTGCTTAAGGGTCAACTCTATCCTCTTCAAATTTCAAAAAATCCCTTAAAAGCATTATTCATTTTTCACGAACTTTCCAACAAATTATCGTCTTCCCATCGTAATGACTCTTCCAGACCTAACTTGACTGCAAAAAATATTCTCGAATGTGCTTAAGGGTCAATTCTATCCTCTTTAAATTTCAAAAAATCCCTTCAAAGCATTATTTATTTTTCACGAATTTTCCAACAAATTATCGACTTCCCATCGTAATGACTCTCCCAGAGCTAACTTGACTGCAAAAACTATTCTCGAATGTGCTTAAAGGTCAACTTCATCATCTTCAAATTTCAAAAAATCCTTACAAAGCATCATTTATTTTTCATGAATTTCACAACAAATTATCGGCGTTCCCCCGTAGTGACTCTCCCAGACCTAACTTAACTGGAAAAACTATTCTCGAATGTGCTTAATGGTCAACTTCATCATCCTCAAACTTCAAAAAAATTCCCTACAAAGCATCATTAACGTAGTGACTCTTCCAGACCTAACTTGACTGCAAAAAATATTCTGGAATGTGCTCAAGGGTCAACTCTATCCTCTTCAAATTTCAAAAAATCCTTACAAAGCATCATTCATTTTTCTCGAATTTTTGAACAAATTATTGACTTCCCCCGTAGTGAGTCTTCCAGACCACACTCGAGTGGTAAAAATATTCTTGAATCCGCTTATCTTCCTCAAATTTCAAAAAAACCCCTACAAAGCGTCATTAATTTTCCACGAATTTCTAAACAAATTCTCGATTTCCCCTTGTAGTGACTCTCCCAGACCTAACTTGACTGGAGAAAATATCCTCGAATGTGCCTAAGGCTTGATCCTACCTTTTCCGAATCCCAGAAATTCCCTACATAGTATAATAATTTTATTTGATTGAATTTTTTAATTTTCTCTTCAATAATTATCTGGTCGACTGTAATATACACGAATCTGAATATGAATATGAAGCTAACTTCAACCACGTCATCGAGGGATTTCTTTCTCTTCGCCCGCCTTGATTTTTTCAATTTTTAGGTTGCCCATCTGTGAAAGTTTGGAAACCTGAATGTGAAGATTGAAACAGAATTCAAATGGCTTCAATTTGGACCGAATTACGTTGAGATTGGCTTAAAATTAGCAAAGCTGTGAGGCTAAATGTGCATCAATTCGTTTAAAATGACATCGAGAAAGGACCCCGCAATATTTAAATGGAAATTGGTTAACCGTGATATTTGAATGAAATTTAAATATGTCATTGGGGATGCCGTAAGCAACATTTTTTACCATGGGCACAACCCTGTATATATGACAGGTGAGGCGTGGTTAGCTGTCAAATATTGGAATCTTATATCCAAAAGCAGAGTAACTATGGCAGATTTTGATGAACAAAAAATCTATTTCTACTAAGTCGACCAAGTTAAGTCGAAAAATGTCAACCATTTTGACACCTGTCAAAACCTTACCAAACGGCAGCACTCATCTTTTCCAGTTTTCAATATTTTATGATGTCATCTGACATTTTTAGCTTGTATGTAAATTCTGAATTCAAAAATTAAAAAAAAAAAAATGACAGAACTGTCAAGACCTGTCATTTGTTTTAGTAGAAAAAAAATACTTTAATCTGGCTCTTTCTCGTTTTAAGGTAGTTTATTGGTGATAAAACATTGAACAAAGTTCATGCACGTCACATTTTGACAGCTGTCAGAATCTGTCAATAGGTTTAATTCAAAAAAGAATCAAATCTAGTTCTTTTCCAAATTAAGTTGGGCTTATTTATGATAACGCATAAAAAAACATCATACGCAGGTTTCAGATTTGACAGAGATGTCAATTTTCATTTTAAAGTACGTAGTTTTAGTATAAAGGATTTTATATAGGTGCCTGCGATTTTTTTTGAGTACTTTAATGAAATCATTATAATACTCAGTACTATAATTAAATCATTAAAATACTCAAACATTTTGACACTCACAAATGAAATCTACAATGATGTGATTTTGACATTTTTGACAAATTGGAAAAGAACTAGATTTGATTCTTTTTTGAATTAAAGCTATTGACAGATTCTGACAGCTGTCAAAATGTGACGTGCATGAACTTTTTTCAATGTTTTATCACCAATAAACTACCTTAACGAGAAAGAACCAGATAAGAGTATTTTTTTCTACTAAAACAAATGACAAGTTCTGACAGTTCTGTCATTTTTTTTTTTCAATTTTTGAATTCAGAATTTACATACAAGTTAAAAATGTCAGATGACATCATAAAATATTGAAAACTGGAAAAGATGAGTGCTGCCGTTTGGCAAGGTTTTGACAGGTGTCAAAATGGTTGACATTTTTCGACTTAACTTGGTCGACTTAGTAGAAATAGATGTTTTGTTCATCAAAATCTGCCATAGTTATTCTGCTTTTGGATATAAGATTCCAATATTTGACAGCTACTCACGCCTCACCTGTCATATATACAGGGTTGTGTCCATGGTAAAAAATGTTGCTTACGGCATCCCCAATAACATATTTAAATTTCATCCAAATATCACGGGTAACCAATTTCCATTTAAATATTGCGGGGTCCTTTCTTTCTCTTCGCTCGCCTTGATTTTTCAACTTTGTAGCTGTACATCTGCGAACCTTTAAAAATCTGGACTGTAAATATTTAAACAGAATGTGATTCGCTTAATTTTTTAACCCAAAGACGTAAGATGTATTAAAATTAACAAAGTTGTGAGGCAAAATGTGCATCAATGTCGTTTAAAATGATATAGAGGCATTTCTTTCTCTTCACTCGCCTTGATTTTTCAACTTTGAGGCTCCGTATCTGCGAAATTTTGAAAATCTGAATGTAGAGATTTAATGAGAATTTAATTTACTTCATTTTGAGCCTACGTTAGGATTGAATTAAAATTACCAAAGTTGTGAGGCAAAATGTACATCAACGTCGTTTAAAATGACATCGAGGGACTTCTTTCCCTCGGCTCGCCTTGATTTTTCAATTTTTAGGTTGCGCATCTGCGAAACTTTGGCAATCTGGATCTGAATATACAAAGAGAATTTAATTGGCTCCAATTTGAACCTAATTATGTTGAGGTTGGATTAAAATTAACAAAGTTGTGAGGCAAAATGTGCTTCAATGTCGTTTAAAATGACATCGAGAGATTTCTTTCTCTTCGCTTTCCTTGATTTTTCAACCTTGAAGCGCTACATCTGCAAATCTTTAAAAATCTAGATGCAGAGATTTGAAGAGAATTTAATTGGCTTCAATTTGAGCCTAATTTCGTCAAGATCGGATTGAAATTAACAGAGTTATGAGAGCAAATTATTATCACAAGTGCATAGAAAATAAATCGACAGAAACTGTCCACATGACCCTGAAAGGACAAGGCAGCCAAAAAAAATCCTGCCATGTCACTTATACTAATGCAACAAACCATTAAGGATTTTTTAATCTACGTGATGGCAATTTCGCGAATCTGCATCCCGGATGTCATAAAGAAAATTTGCACTTTAAATCCTCCTAATACGTATCTAATGGATGTATTGAACTTGAAGTATGCATAGAAATTATCTTTCAAAAGGCAAAAAAAATTTTCACATTGACAAAATCTGTAGGTAGTTATCATCAAATAAACCCAATTATACCCAATAGTATCTTATTATCATTAATTTCGTGTCAGGAAAATTTCCTTATTAATGAATGATATCTAATTTTGGAAAGAAAATCGAAAAAGTTGCCCATAAAAACTTGATAATTATCATCACTGTAAATGTACGATAATTTTCAAATTTTCTAATAGTATCTAATTATTTTAATACTCTGAGCTATTTTATAAATTAAATTTAGGTTCGTATCACGTTTTTTACGAACTGCCTAAAATAAGATGGAAATGGATAAATAAATATGTTATCAATAAATACATACATGGATATGAAAATGTTTAGGAAACATAAAATATTTTATCCATTATCACCAAATATCTAAATCATAGGTCAAGTCACCAGAATTATCCAAAAACATGTCCAGAAACAATTTATAAAATCTTACCAAGCAAAATTTTATTGATAACTAATTAGCCAAATATACGTAGGAGACCATTAGCGAATCAATTAAAGAGTAATAATTGATTTAATTTACTACACTTAATTTACCAAATTCCTCGAGATAATTAAAAATACCTACTTGTTTTTTTTTTTCTAAGTCCATTGTAAAATAGGAGTGAAATCTATTATTTCGATAAGTTATCTCAAAATTCTTTGATAGAGAAATGACAAAATTTGATTTTTTGTGAAAATTTTGAATAAATAATTTTGAATTATTTCATAGATAATGAGCATTTCCTTACCAGCAACCCAGCTACAAGGTGGACAATTCACAATCAAAATCAGTTCACTGTTTTTCGCTTTTCACCGCATTCACTACTAAAACTATTTGGAAGTACGATCAGAACGCGATACTATTTGCTTATGAGACGTGATGCTGCCGAAATGGTACTCGGACGCGTCTAATCGACTTCGTCTCCGGTGCAATACTATAACACCAACTATGAGCTCCGTTGCTACACCAAAATAATTTTGGTCGCTTGAGTTCCAGCAGTATTGTCGCGCGAAGTCGAACTGCATTCGGTAAAATTCCGACAGTATTTTCGTCGACATAAGGTCTGTTTCAACCCGCCAAAAAACCATCCCAAGGACCACTCTATATAAGAATTTCGCACACAATTTACGTTTTGCGCATAATCCTGATGGTGAAATGTACGGTTGGAACAAAGCCATTATTATAGATCATTCCCAAATGAGGAAAAGTGCACACAATCTGACAACAGTTACTTGATCAGTTGCACTTGCACATGACATACCGTATATGGGCCCCTAGGAAAATACGATCGACTCTGGAAACATGACGTAATGTTTTCATTTATCCATTTTGAAATGTATATGGCTTTCGCACAAAATTATCCAATCTTGGAAATTTGGTGATGGAACAGAGCTTTATTTGAACATCCATGAGGTCTGGTTGATGTATTAAGGCTGATGTTGCATTGTTTTCTTGTCATGGGTATGGCGCCCACAAAACTATCTCAACTTTTTGGGCATAATCTCCTTGTTGTTACAATATATTTCAAGTTCACGTGTAATTTTAGTTATTTAGAAATTAAATTATCGTCTGGTACATACAGAATTATGTCACAAGCACTTACTCCAACTGCGGTTACATGATCATTTCAAAAAATTGACTGATGAATGAATCCATCGGCCAAGGCCGTTGAAGATTAATTCTAGGCCAGAGCTTGGTCTTCATGAATGTCTTACTCAATCGCTGCATTGGGCGTCAATGGACAATCGATCTTGCAAAACCGAGCTGTTCACCAATTCGTCGTATGCAGTGTCCAGCATCGCACATTCCTCAAGAGGTTGTAATGTGGCGTTAGCCTTCCATAGTCCGGGGCGTTACCCACTAAACTAGTTAGCCGCTCTGCCTCCCAGAGACCAACAACTATGAAAGGCACCAAGTTGTTTTTGGACTGGGCTGGCCTTTCTCCTGAGTATTCCTGTTTGCCAGGTTCCCCCAGCAACGTTTGACGAGTCGATGTGGTCAACCTTGCACCATATTCCGTGTCAAATAATCTCACTAGGTGAGTCCCTTTTGCCTTGACAAGGTCCAGGATATACTGGGATGGGGTAGACTTACTCAGGTTACACCTTCAACTCCCCGGCACTCTCCAGGCGACATACGTTTCGAAGTAGAGCCCATCATCAACCGGGAAGCTGAGTTCATCGAACTTTCACGCAGATTAACTGGAATCATTCGTAGAGTTCCAGGCCGAGACGATATCGGATACCGCTGCAATCTTTCAGGGGCCCGATTCTCGTCTCACGGAGAGGAGAGCTCCCCAAGAGAACAAATTTCTCGTCTTTATTATTCTCGTTCATTTTTCGATCACGTTGACAAGGACAAAAATTCGTTCTCTCGGGGAGCTCTACTCCCTGGGGACGAGAATCGGGCCCCTGGAGAGAGGCTCAGGAACTTTGCCCAGAATTCTGGGATCGTTCGAGAGCTCCTCCCTCCTTCCCCCATCGTGAGATAATTTGGTGGGTGTGAACAAAATCGCAACAGCGAACCAGCCTGCATCATAATGTGGGTAGGGACAGTGGGGCTCTCGTTAATCCACATCGCAAAGTGTGAACCCTTTGATCCTAGCAGGAACTCAGGAAAGTTAATATGTATTTGTACGCAGAAATCCGCCTTCCAATGCAAACTTCACAAGTTTCGAAATTCAAAGAAACCTCAAAAACTATTTGTTGTTCATAGTTGGCTATGTAATAAGTATAAGCATAAACATTTTATGATTACCTATATAAAATCAGTTCAATTACTTGCCCAGTTATTTATTCGTATCAAGCATTAAACAAAAAAAATTACATGGCCCGGTTTTTTCAACATAACCAAAGTTTACCTACCTCGATAGCAAAAACGTTACGGAACCGATAAAAGGTGCACCCACCACTGCCACAATGATAACTGACAGTAGGTATGAGTACAGTTCATCCACTGATTTCCAGACAAAATAAAGTACATTTTTGAATAGCGACAGTTCTCGAAAGCCTGATAAGACGTTGAGATATGTGCCTATTCACTTAAAATAGATAATTTGCTAGATAAGATGGGATGAAAGTACTATAATAAAATAGTCAAGAACTTACTATGATTAAAGACATCCTCATTTTAATAATTTAACAACCTAGCTTGATACCAATGCATTTCCGTTGATATAACAGCTAGTCAAAATCTTGAAAACAGTGTTTGTTTTTAGTTATTCAGACATGGTTGGGGTGGTATGGTATGATGAGGGTCAGACCTTTATGAAATAAATTATTTATGATATCAGGACATCAGAGTTCAGAACTCAAAGTTCTAAGTTGCAACTTACCCCCGCTCGAAGGGTTAAGTCATAGCTTATTTTGAAGGACCTGGAAGACAATTAAAATGGTGTAGGTATCACTTGAGGGGTGTCAAGTCCATGCATTGTCCTGGAACCCAGCTCAGTCCGACGGCCTCTTGGTGGTCCATCATTTTGGCTGTACTCTCAAGTATTGTCGAGTGTCCATAATCGGTTTCCTTCCACAGTTTGGATTCTCTTAGTCTAAGAGCTCCCTTTGCAGCTGTGCCTCTTATGAACAAGTTTATTGCCAACAGATTCAGCATAACCTCTAAGGCCGCCTGTGGTGTGCTTCTTTTCGCCTTCGTTGTATCGAGTTCTGTCATTCTCTGTACTTTGATAAGCATTTTCAAGTTCACCTTTCTGTCAATAGAATTCCACAATTCTACCGCTCTGTAGCTTATAATGGGTCCCACTATCGCAGTGTACATCCAATGGATGATGTGCGGTTACAGCCCTCATTTTTTGCCGAATAGTTTCCTGCAGGTGTATATTGCATTCAGAACTTTTTTGATTCTTTCTTCCGTGTTTCTCCTCCATGAGAGTTTGGAGTCAAGAACGATCCCTAGATACTTCGCTTCTGTTGATAGCTTGAGGGTTTGTCCCCTAACCGTCGGAATTGTGAAACTAGGGATTTTGTATTTTCTTGTGAACAGGACTAGCTTGGTTTTTGAGGAATTACTCCCAATCCGTTCTGTCCTGCTCATCTGGAAAATTCTTTAATGCTGATTCCATGTTTTCAATAATGGTTGATGAGTTGAAGCCCTTCACCAGTAGTACTATGTCGTCAGCATTTAATCAATTTTATTCTCCTTTCTCTAAAGGTTTTCCGAATCATATTGGTTACCAGCAGCCACAAGAGTAGATATATCACGCCTCCTTGTGGAGTCCCTCTGGTTGTTCTTTTCCTTATGGCCACCCATGTCTGAATTGATGATTCTGCTTTTAACATTTTTGTTATTTATTGTATGATGACTGGTTCTACCTTTAGGTGATCCATGGATTTTTCAATGGACTCAATCATTACATTATTTAATGCACCCTCTATATCCAGAAATGCACCTAGTGTGTATTTATTATTTTCAAGAGATCTCTCAATTGTTCTAACTACTTTATGCAGTGCACTTTCAATTGAACTTGCTTTCAGGAATTCATGTTGGTATGGGCGTTGCGTGTTTTTGCTCGTAAATTCTCTAATGTGTAGACCAATCAGTTTCTCTAGAGTCTTTAACAAGAATGATGATAAACTAATTGGTCTATAGTCTTTTTGGGTTGAGATGATTTACCCGCTTTGAGTATAAGTGTAGGTCCTAGTGTTAAGCAATCAGCAAATAATTTTAGGATTGGTTCTAGAATGCTTTCCAGGGATTTTTGTAGCGTAACTAGTATTACCCCATCTGGTTCTGCGGACTTGTAAGGGTGGTTCTTAGTGCCCATTCCAGTTTTTCCCTAGTAATTATTCTTTTTATCACTTCCGCGTCGGTTTTTGAGATTGATTCCAATTGCTCTTCAGAGCTGTAGGTATCTGCTTCTGTACAACCTGGGAAGTGTGTCTCCATGCATCGTCAGGCCTTCTGTCGAGTCGCTCGAAAGGATTCTCCTTAACCTGGCTGACTCATGAATGTCCATGATGGACTCACAGAATTTCTGCCATGAGCTCTTTTTCATCTTTCTGATCTCGCTTTCACATCGGTTGAAGCTGGTTTTGTATTATTTCAAGTCTTCCTCTTTACCTTCTCTTTTGGCTTGGTTGAAATTTTCCTCGTGCCTGATAATTCCGCTGTCTACCACGGGTGCTTTTGCGGGGTTACCGCCTAGTTAATCAAATAAACTGCTCTAGTTATGCACTCAAAACAATTAATATAATAAAAATATATTCAATGTTAAAAGTGTGTAAAAAAAATATTATACTTGTGTATCAAGTAGGTATGTAATGTAAAAATATATTTTACTACGAGCGTGCGCAAAGTTATTACTTTGCACACTCATTTGCGTGCGCAAAGTTAAACTTTGCGCACGATAACTCTTTGCGCACTAATTATTGTTACGCATAGTTACCGCATTTATACTCGTTTGTTCAATGTTTTGGTGGGTTTCTTGATAAACTTATATTCAGAAAGAAGGGCCTGATGTTATTTTTGTTCCAATAAAGGCATTCAGGTAATGTTTAGCTTTTTTAACTTGACACGTGCCGTATAAGGAGCGAGGGGAAGAAAAATCCAGCAAAAATAGATGTGAGATCAGGTGACCGTTAACATAGGGAGTCACCAAATCACATTCCTTTAGAGTATCAGATTATGAAAGTTTGACTGTAAGTTATACTCCTCCATATACTCCCCAACTTAATGGTGCTGCGAAAAGAATGAATCAGGCACCAATAGACAAAGCATGGTCTATGATAATGCAAGCAAAAATGGATACCTAATATATTTTGGAAAGATGCTGTTCTTGTGGCTACGTAAAACTAATTCAACAAGCCACATGAAAACATATCATCTTAATGAATTAAGTCTCGATTTGGCAGGAAAAACAAACTTAACGACTTGTTCAAATTTCAAGTAAACCTTGCCAACACAACCAATGTTGCAAATGAAGTCAAGCTGATCACTGAAAAAAAAAATTGAAACACATTGAACTAGGAGAGAAAATTACTAGTTTTGAGCATCTGGAAACGTTTAAGGAGATTAGGTACAGCTCCTCTCTGGATGCTATGCAAATCTTCGAACACTCGTAGAAAAAGTTTTGTTCCTAACACTTGCGCAAAGTGTCTTTCCCGCATTCAAAGCTTATCCGAACTACGCTCCGCGTCGTTCGTCTAACTGCTTTTTCGTGCAGGAAAGTATCACTTTGCGCACTTGTCAGGAAAATAACTATTAATGTAAGTAGATAGGTACCTCGTATCCTATTTGTAAATTAAATGAAAAAAATAAACTAATTTGCACATTATTGAAAAAGCCTTATACAAATAAACTTGTGTATTCCAGAATTTCAATAGACAAGTTTCTTGTTGCCTAAATTACACTTGGATCATAAAATGTTTTGAGAAAATAATATTAATTCCAAATTCTGAAATATGTAATTACCAATTCCTAATTTAATGATAAATAATTATTGTTATCAATTTAAATGTGCTAATAATAAATTATTGTTT